TTCACATTTTCTTCAAAAACCCTGGAAAAAATCTTGACGTTTTAAATGTAGCTCGCGAAAAAAATTCGGACAATGAAAAACGCTGAAATTTAAGTGAAATTCATGGAAATTTTGCGTAGTTTGTGCTAGAAATAAATATAGTATTCAGAATAGGATGAAAAGTCATCAATTGTAAAATTGAGAATGGAAATGGGGAATGTGTCAAAGGGACAACAACCCGACCAAAGAGCAGAAAACAGCCGAAGGCCACCAATGGGTCTTCAACACAGCGAAAAAATCCCGCATCCGGAGGCGGGCTTCAGCTGGCCCCTTAACAAAAATGTGTACTAGTTCAATGAAAATGGACGTCACGATAAACTCCAAAAAATATAAATGAACTAAAATTAAAAAAAACATACAAGACTAACAAAGGCCAGAGGCTCCTGACTAGGGACAGGCGCAAAAATGCGGCGGGGTTAAACATGTTTTGTGAGATCTCAACCCTCCCCTATACATCTAGCTAATGTAGAATAAACAAAAAAACAGCAATACGCACAGTAAAACTCAGTTTAAAAGAAGCCCGAGTCCGATGTCAGAATAGGTAACAAAAGAAAATAAGCAAAATGACAATGATACATAAATTAACAAAGGACTACTAGAAGTTACTGACATGCCAGCTCCAGACCTCAGTTAAAATGATTGGGAGATTATGTCTTCATCATATGAAAATTAAGCACAATTCCTCCCGTTAGGGGTTTAGTATCATACCATCATAAAATATATGAGAAGAACGTAACCCGTATCATTGCCAACAACTGGTTCAACCCACCATTTTTTTCTTAAAATGTCCTTTACCAAGTCAGGATAATGGCCATTGTTATATTATAGTTCGTTTCTGTGTGTGTTACATTTTAATGTTGTGTTTCTGTTGTGTCGTAGTTCTCCTATATTTGATGTGTTTCCCTCAGTTTTAGTTTGTAACCCGGATTTGTTTTTTTCTCAATCGATTTATGAATTTCGAACAGCGGTATACTTCTGTTGCCTTTATTTAGAATAATAGTGCTTATTTCCGATGCAAAGACCCTATGAGTGAATCAATATTAATACCAAAATATACCATCTTTAATGACCTGACAACAGTATCGTAACTATATCCCTTCTGAATAAGTCTGTTTAGATGTTTGGTTAACTTTTGAGGTGAATGTCGATATTTTTGTGCTTTGTATAGAATATTACCATAAAAGATGGGATGTGAAATACCTGAAAGTATAAGATGCCTGCATCTTGATTTATATTTACGAATGATGTCCTTGTACCGATGATAAAATTTAGTAAATGTGTTGACTAGTTTGTGATATCGGAAACCCTGGTGTAATCATTTTTCAGTAATACAGAGGTTTCTTTCGTTAAAATCAAATACGTTGTTCCATACACGAGCGAATCGAACAATTTGAGATATATAAACACCATAAGATGGTGACAAGGGAACATCACCATCTAAAAATGAATAATTAACAATAGAAAATGAAAAATCATCTCTTTTATCATAAATTTTGGTATTAAGCTTCCCGTTAAAGATATAGATATCAAGATCCAGGAAAGGGCAGTGTTCATTGTTAGTATTAGCTTTATTTTAAAGTCAGTTCAGCAGGATAAATCTCTTTAGTGTACATACTAAAGTCGTCATTATTGAGAGCCAATATATCATCCAAATATCTAAAAGTGTTATTAAATTTTTGTATCAGATGTTGTTTCGATGGGTCTTTGCTGATTTTAGTCATAAATTGTAACTCATAAACTATCATACTTGCAAAATAGCATTAAATCGATCTGGTCGTATTTAGTATCAATAGAAAATCCTGATCTACACTCGAAAAAATGGACCGATTCACCATAAAAACACGGTCTCAGCCGGACATTTTACCTAACGTGTTACACGACATAATAAATTGAGATACCCAACTACCTGAATTATGCTAATATGATTATCGTTGATATGAACGCTTAAAAATTATTTCAAATTACGATTTAGTTTAAACAGTGTGTTTTTTTTCTCTTCTTCTTCAAAATATATTAAATTGAAAGGTGCAAAAAGCTAAGCATCTGCAATCACTCATTCCGACAGCTTCACAAACGCTCTACGTACAGTGGCAACTATTACATATTGTGCAGCCTGAAAATAATGTTTATGTTATATGTTTATATGGTATGAATGTATTTACATGTACCCCAAACACGACAATATCTTTTCGTCCGTTTTTTTATTGTTAATTTCTTAATAAAAAATCAGAAGAATCAAACTTCAAAGAAGCGAAATTATCAAAACTGCGCATTAAATTTAGTACTTTTAAAGTTTAATTAAATATCTAAACCATCAAATTTCAAAAGTGAATTTTAGAATTTTAAATTTTAATTAACTGGTGAAAATTTCAAAATTTCCAAAAATCCTAAATTTAGAATGTTGATATTTTAAAACTTTGATCAAAATTCCCAAAAAATAAAATTTGAAAACTTTTTAAAATGTTGAACTGACAAGTGTTACACGAAACGATCTACCATAATCTCCTCCTGATTTTGATGACTCGTATCCATCATATGGCGTCAGTTGTCATTAACAAACCAGTTTAAAAACGCAATTTTCATTGGTTAAAACAATTAGACAAACGAATGGGTACTAGCGCGTATATTATGATTTCATACGCGTATATTTACAAAATGAACGCGTATATTAACGCGTATATAACAAATAAATTGGAATAAAGTATAAGCGCGTTTATTAACGCGTATATTGTTAAAATATACGCGTATAAAACAGCAATATACGCGTATAAAACAACAATATACGCGTATAAAACAACAATATACGCGTATAAAACAACAATATATACGCGTATATAATCGCGCAAATGACATGAACGGCCACTCATATTACATACACGAGCGAATCGAACAAGTTGATATATTTAAACACCATAAGATAGGGCCAAGGGAACGTCACCATCTAAAAAGGGATAATAAACAATAGGAAATGATAAATCATCTCTTTTATCGTTAATTTTAGTATTAAACTTCCCGTTAAAGATATAGATATCAAGATACAAGGAAAGGACAGAGTTCATTGTTAGTATTAGCTTTATTTTGCATTAACTTCTACAGGATAACTTTCTATTGGAATTTGATGAGACAGTCGTACAAGTGAGAGGTTTAGCGCTAAAAAACCAGGTTCAATCCACCATTTTCTACATTTGAAAATGCCTGTACCAAGTCAGGAATATGACAGTTTTGTCCATTCGTTTGATGTGTTTTGTCATTTGATTTTGCCATGTGATTAGGGACTTTCCGATTGAATTTTCCTCGGAGTTCGGTATTTTTGTGATTTTACTTTTTTCTCTTTAGTGTACATAATGAAGTCGTCATTATTGAGAGCCAATATACCAGTATCATCCAAATATCTAAAGGTGTTATTAAATTTTTGTATCATATGTTGTTTCTATGGGTCTTTGCTGATTTTAGTCATAAATTGTAATTCGTAACAATACAGAAACAGGTCCGCAACAAGTGGTGCACAGTTATTCTCCATTTGAATTCCGATAAGTTGGCGATATACGTAATCTCCACAGCGAAAAAAATATTATCTTTGTAAAAATTCAAGTGCAGTTAGTATATCAAAGCAGGTATAATTGACATAGTTCTTTTGTTTGTTGTTGCTAGAAAAAGACCTAAAAGAGTTCGAAAATATATATTGCATTCTGACTTTTTAAATGCCCTTTTAATTAGGTATGCGAATTTTTCTTTATAAGATTATGGGGCAAAGTGGTATATAGGGTAGAAAAATCAAAGCTTTGAACAGATTCGAAAGCACCAATATGAGCATGCAATATATCAAGTACTTTCAACGAATTTTTAACACTCCAAAAGTAATTAATTCCACAATTTTCATAGGCCTTATTTGAAAAATTTACTACCAGGTGTTTGATTGTTTCAAGTGTACTAGTAAATAAAATAGACAGTTTAGTAGTGTAGTAGAACAATGACTTGGAGACGAACAAAATCTATATCTGTAAGGTGTTTTGTGCAGCTTCGGAATCCAGTGCATAGTTGGAACTTTCATGTTATTCGGTTCTGCTTGTAAAGAGGTAAGTAAAAGTTTATTTTTGTTAACACTATTTAACAAGCTGTACCCTTTTTATTGTAGCAGCCTATAAGTATTCATACGAATTCTGTGCGTATATATTTTGGGTACCTATAAAGTGCGAAACGAAATAAAAACGAAACAAAACAAAACAAAACAAATAGGAAAGGAAAAAACAAAATCGACCGAAACGAAACGAAATTGACCGAAACAAAACGAAATACAACAAAATGAAACAAAATCAATCAATTATTATTCTTAACTTTTAGAGAGATGATGTACCGGTATTATCTAATATATTACATAATAACTTAACCAAAGATTACTCCGTATTCAACGTTTTCTGTAAGTAATAACATTAACGGTACTAATTTTACTGCACCAGATGCACAATTAGACAACGAATATCTCTTCAGTATTACTCAAGGCCAAAATATTTGAAAATGCAAAACCTTTAGATAAATTTCCACAATATCCTTAGAGAACTAGCTGTTATTTAAAGCAAGCATATCATCACGGTAACAGTAATTGTTCGGATCTTTTCTGAGGTTGGCCATCAACTATGATTAATAACAATATAGGAACAAGTATGCCATCAAAAGGACGGAATAATTGCCCATAATCATACCTTCAACCTGTCGATAAACATTATTACGAAATCTACATAAATATTTTATCAAGGAGAAATTGTTTTGACTTAATCATCTTATCATAATTCCAGTAAGCATATAAAGTACATTTGCCTTTTTCATTACACAAGAAGATTATCCTTGTTGATTTTAATCTCAGATTTCAAGAACATAAATTAAACATCATAATAATATGTGAGTACTGCATTCACGTCTAAAATAGTGATCAGATTTGAAATGGATTTCCAATCTAGTAGTTTTTAATATTCTTGTTCTCCTTCTTCTTCTTCTCCTCCCTCTGCAGACTCTACACCAACTTCCTCATAATCCTTCTCTAGAGCTGCCAAATCTTCACGAGCTTCAGAAAATTCTCCTTCCTCCATACCTTCTCCTACATACCAGTGAACAAAGGCACGTTTAGCATACATCAAATCAAACTTGTGATCAAGACGTGCCCAGGCTTCAGCAATACAGGTAGTATTACTTAGCATGCAGACGGCTCTTTGTACTTTAGCTAAATCTCCTCCTGGAACAACAGTGGGTGGCTGGTAGTTGATTCCAACCTTGAATCCAGTTGGACACCAATCAACGAATTGAATGGTTCTCTTTGTTTTGATGGTAGCAATTGCGGCATTGACATCTTTTGGTACAACATCTCCCCTGTATAACATACAGCAAGCCATGTATTTTCCATGGCGTGGATCACATTTCACCATCTGATTTGCAGGCTCAAAAACTGCATTTGTTATCTCACCTACAGTCAGCTGTTCGTGGTATGCCTTCTCTGCAGATATAACAGGTGCATAGGTTGTCATTGGGAAGTGAATGCGCGGGTAGGGCACTAAGTTTGTTTGAAATTCTGTAAGATCAACATTGAGGGCGCCATCAAAGCGGAGTGAGGCAGTTATTGAACTGACAATCTGACCAATCAGACGATTCAAATTTGTATACGTTGGTCTATCGATATCCAAATTGCGTCGGCAAATGTCGTAAAGAGCCTCGTTGTCGACCATAAAAGCACAATCGGAATGCTCCAGAGTAGTATGGGTATTCAAAATGGCATTGTAAGGTTCAACAACGGCGGTAGAAACCTAAAACAAAAAACCAATACAATGCACAGTTATTTAAATTATGGACTCCTAACTCATTGATATATGTCTAAATTTCGTATAGCTTCTGTCTCAAACATAAGTATTCATTGACAAGTATTTATACATCCTTTGCCTTCAATGTTTTGGGTTTGAGCGTACCAGTTAGTTCATTATGAAAGTAAACGAGAAAAGTATTTTGGAGGTTCCAAATTTATATAGCGCTATTTCCATAAAATTCATTATTGTAAAATATTTATTATTTGTATTGTATTAAAAAGTTATTTATTTTCCCAAAAAAAAGTTTCTGTTTTATTTACACTTCGATATGCGGGAAATGATTTTCTTGCGTTCCATTTAGACCATAAACAGTAAACATTACGTGAAAGATCATGGTGCAACACAGTTATTAATAATAGCTACCTGTGGAGCAGGGTAAACACAAAATTCCAGCTTCGATTTCTTTCCATAATCCACGGACAACCTTTCCATTAATAGTGATGTAAATCCTGAACCAGTTCCGCCACCAAAACTGTGAAAAATCAGGAACCCTTGAAGCCCAGTACATTGATCAGCCTAGAATATCGAACAAGATAGAACTACTTCTGCTAGACAAAATTCATAATTATTACAACTTAATAACTAGAAAATTGACGATGTCAGCAGGGGTTCCGCTTACACATTTTTGTGTGAGGCACAGAAACACATAGCTAATTCTGATACAAACAAAGCAAAACTTTTAAGATGTTTTAATTTTTCTGATTATGATACCAGGAAAATGCAGGATATGTTCCAAATAAATATCAAGGTTCGTTTAAAATCCGTGCTGACTATGATTTCGTTTTGTATTTTAGCACTCAGATAAAAAATATAGTGGTCGGAGGATAATTTTAAACATAGGGAATCAATATGGAATACCTCAATGAAATCCTATAGTTCAAAAAGATGTTTTCGAAATTTGTAATTTTCTGCAAATTGAACACCTGGAATTGAGATCCTAGCACAACAAGATGGTCTCGAAATTTGTATTTTTTACCCCCCCCCCCCCCAAAAAAAATAAATTAGCCAATGTTCACACACACAAATAATATGCACATCTGAATAATATGCTCAACAATTGCACACAATTTCAATGGTATCCTTCCATAATTTTAGAGTTTATCCGTTTACAAATCTATATATTTCTCAAAGTTTGTGATTTTTATATAAAATTATATTTTTTTCAACATTAAAGGACCTATTTCACAAAAAAAAAAATGATATTCACATCTACATGTTATGCACAATAAATGTGCAAAATTTCATTGTCGTCATAACCATACTTTTGGAATTTTGAGTTTACGCCAATTTTGACGGACAGACAGATGGATTGACAAAGTGTAAACTATAGGGCTCTAACCTCTTCGATGGGGAGCCTTATGGCAATGTTATAAAGAATATATATCTTTGAAAAAGTATAGTCGAATACGGTTAATAACCGTGAATAAAATAACATAATTTGCCTGGTACCAACTTTCATCTTAACTCCCACGTTAGTTAAATCAAAGGTTATATTATTAATAATAATAACATACTGATTTCCTTATTCTATCAAGAGCTAAATCTACAATTTCTTTCCCAATGGTGTAATGTCCTCTAGCGTAATTATTGGCGGCATCTTCTTTTCCAGTCACTAGCTGCTCTGGGTGGAACAGCTGACGATAGGTACCTGTGCGTACTTCATCTGAAATAATAAAAACATGAACGGAAATGTTGCTTTCCTAGAATACCAATCACTGTATGTATGTCTTGCCTGAAATGAACTATGCAAATGGAGGAAACAATATTTGAAATTTATCCCAATTATTAAAATGCTGATATGATAATAGATACAATGGAGTTTTTAATACTTCTAAAAGGTTGATACATACCGACAACAGTAGGTTCTAGATCTATGAATATAGCCCGAGGGACATGTTTGCCTGCTCCTGTTTCACTGAAGAAGGTGTTGAAAGAGTCGTCGCCACCACCAATTGTCTTGTCACTTGGCATCTGACCATCAGGCTGGATACCATGTTCAAGACAATACAACTCCCAACAGGCATTGCCCATTTGCACGCCACACTGGCCTATATGAAGAGATATTACCTCACGCTGAAAAAAAACAAGCTATTATAAGCTTCATTCACTATTAAATTATTAAAGCATCTTTAACATCATAACTACTCGACTTTTAGGTTACCATTGATAATTATCTTACCCGTCAGGTATACTTAGGGTGAGAGGTGATAGAGCAAATTGTTAACCTTGAGAAAATATGGTCAACCGAGGCGATGTTGACAATGTTTTGCTCGGAGTAACTAACAATCTGGCCTGAGGAAATTAGAATTTCTTAATTATTTCTAAATTCATCAAAAAGAATTGAAGAAAGGTATATCACATATCATGTCAGTACAGGCACAATAATATATATGATGTTTAATTTTATAATTTTTGCATTGTGTATATATTTGTATCGTATTGTTTTATTGCCTTCAACCCCTCGGGGTATGAATGTGCATTTCATTCATAAGGTTTATTCCTTGAATGCCTACACCTTTTGATCTGCCGGCGAAATATATAGGCAACAGTAGTATACCGCTGATCGAAATTCATAAATCGATTGAGAAAAACCAAATCCGGGTTACAAACTAAAACTGATGGAAACACATCAAATATAAGAGGAGAACAAAGACACAACAGAAACACTAAAATGCAACACACACAGAAACGAACTATCAGATAACAATAGCCATTTATAGAAATACAGGTAAAAAATGTAGGCATTCAAGGAATGGTATCTTATTATAATTAAGTGTAGTCAAAACAAACAGTTATTATAATCTGTGCAGGTAAGCTGAGTTTCCCAATCAAAATTTAAGGTCATTTTTTTAATTTTCCTGTTTGTTTGCAATAAATTAATATTTTGTATTTTTTCTGTATGTTTGCAATGTTTTTTAAAGGAATTATAAAAAACACTCTTCATTGACAGCTCAGTAAATGTTAACGAAAGATAACTAAAATAAGGAATATTTATCTATTCGTGTTCAATTGATCAAGAATATAGATAATATTCAAGATAAGAAAACAGCACAAAAATATCAAAGCACTTGTCACAATCACATATAAATAAAGCATACATATCTTTGAACTTTACAACATGAATAGTCACATAGTGCCATCACAAATATACACTAGTATATTGTCAATTTAGTCCAAATGAAGGAGGTATTAAGCAGCATCTACAAACTGAACTGTCAAAATCTCTATGTTCTGATGTTGGATCTTCAGTTTGGAGAGTCTATCTTTATTTTCCTTGTATTTTAGCTTATTGATTTGCTCATACATTAAATATTTCTATGAATAATACTTTGAAATTTGAATGATTTTTGTTTATAAATGTACTATTTTAGTCTTGGACGCATGATTTTTTTTATTAGTTGTTATTGACTTTGAACTACCTGTCAGTAACTGCGAGTACTCTCAGATCTGTACTTAGTGTCTTTTGTTGTGGGGATGTATAAGTACCCTGCCATGTCCACTCTGTTTTTTTTTTGTTAGATGTTTTTCTGCTTTGTATTCATCTGATGAGTTAAGCCCTTTTCAACTGATTTTTATAGTTTGTTCTTATGTTGTACTTTTACACCAAAGTCCCAGGTTAGGGGAGGGTTGGCGCCTTCAAACTAGTCTAACCCGCCACATTCTGCATGTGCCTGTCCTAGTCAGGAACCTGTAATTCAGTGGTTGTTGTTTGTTGCTGTATATCATATTTGTTTTTCGTTCATTACTTTGTACATAAATCAGGCCGTTAGGTTTCTCGTTTGAATTGTTTTACAGTTGTCATTTCGGGGCCTGTTATAGCTAACTATGGGGTATGGGTTTTATTCATTGTTGAAGGCCGTTGATGACCTATAGTTGTTAATTTCTGTGTCATTTGGTCTATTGTGGAGAGTTGTTTCATTGGAAATCATACCACATCTTCTTATTTTTATATTTAAACAGTCGTTCTTCATTTATTTGTTTCAATTTTAATTTCTTACTTTGAATTTCTTACTATTTTTCTTATTGTTAATCTTTAACTTAAAAAATAATAGTATTATTCCATTTCATTTAAGTTGAAGTTTTATTAAAAAAAAAATGATTATTTTAAGGTGAAAAATAATTTTTACCTTTAAACTACTGTTTTCCTAATTATCAAATTTTGTTCTAAAACAATACCAATTTATTAAAACAACATCTATTCAATTTTTTTTGTAGGCATTCGATGAATAGATTTTGTATAAAATTTAGGCATTCCAGGAAGACACCATTCAAAACTTATGATAAATAAATAAATAAATAATTAATTAGTACGCATGAAAATGAATTAATAAACACGAAAATGAAAAAGTACACAAACAAATGAATTAATAAAAGACAAACATCAAGGCATAATAGTAAGATTATGATTGACCATATGCATATCTTCTGATAATATGCCATTAGAAATACTTGATTTACATCTCAATATCAGACTACTAAAGGTAAATTATTGTAAATTTTTATGGAAAAAAAAATATGTAGAAAAAAAACTTACCATATTTATAGAATTACGAGTTGAATAAAGTAAACAGTAATTGCTCAGTGGTGATTTTATACAAACAACTTCTTTTATAACGTTTCCAACTTCGTTTTCCCCAATGGTCATTAAAACATAAATATTATTGAAGCCTTAATTGGTTTAATTGATATGAGATGATCAAAGTAAACAGAGTAAAGATAAGATGGTGTAGAACTTTTATTATTAATATTTAAATATTTTTGAAACCTAAAATTATACTTTGTTGAAGCATAACACTATGAAAGTTTCTGTACATAAAAGTAAGGAGATGTGGTATGATTGACAATGAGATAACTATCCTCCAGAGACCAAAGGACGAGTATGAAAACAACTATAGGTCAATGCAAGGCCTTCAACTATGAGCAAAACCAATAAGGTATAGTTAGCTATAAAATGCTCCAGCGTGACAAAATATGAAAAATTCGCAAGAAAGTCAATGGCCTTATTTATGGTAAACAACGATTGAAAAACATGAAAGACAGGAACCAACGACATGCACTGGATTACAGGCTAATGATTTGGGATAAACACATAAAGAATGCGATGAGGATACATATTTTGTAAGCGCTTAACCTGGGACAGTGATGTAACAGCACAACATGAGAACAAGCTATGAAATCAGTTGGAAAAGGCTCGACTAATCAGATCGACATACAAAATTCCCCAAAAAGAGATAAAAACACAAGGTGCCGTTCTAAGCGACGTGCAGTTACTGAAAGCTATATTATATATTTTATCAGCTCTAGTAGGAGGAGGGGATAAGGCGTCTGCGCAATGCTAGGGGGTGTTGTCGTAGAAGTATGAAGTGAAAAGTACAGGTTCCAGCCCCGGTCGGGGAGGGAGTAAAGAATCAGATATACTCTAACATTGTTAGGTTGATTTTCTAGGCACTTTATAAATATTCTAACACCTTGTCATATAACGTCAAGCAATGCGTCATTGGAATGCGACTGTAATACACATTCTGAAGTCACACCGGTTCATACAACACTCGTCATCAGCAATACACAAACGTAGTCCGACAGTGGGCGAAGCTTTAAAGCGATATCTGTATAGTATACAGATACAGCCTAGCGATATCTGTTGGGCTGTATCTGTATGATAAGACACCCAAATGCAGGATAAATAAATATACATATATATACAAGTCTAAATTGAAAACAACGTTCAAACCTATGATTGCGTTGGATAAAAACCGCAATTTTTATACGTGTACATGCAAAACAAATTTCTTGGTAGAGGGGTCTAAATACAGCACAAACAACATTTTCCAAAAGACCAAAAAAGTGAAAAAGTATATTTTAAAAAATTGCATTTGACTAGCAGGTCGAACAACGGATGTTCTTAAACCCTGCTGACTGCCATTGGCGATTGCCAAATAAACAGATCACCAGATGGAACAAAATGGATCTTAACTATTAATTTAATAACAAACAGAAAAAAACAATAAACTTGCGGAAAAGATGGCATACCGCAAACAAGAGGTGCAAAAATTAGTACACCATATCCGGATTTCGACAATTAATGTATCTTAGGAATCGAAACGGTATTTGGAAGGCCATATAATTTACCTCAATTTCGGAAATACTCTTGAATTTTGAAGAGTCGAAATAGGATGAACGGATCATATAAACCCGAAGGCAAATATAATACAAGCCCAAACGAAAAAATATAAACATGTCTAAATTGAAAACAACATTCAAACCAATGATTGCGTTGGATAAAAACCGCAATTTTCATACGTGTGCATGCAAAACAAATTTCTTGGTAGAGGGGTTTAAATACAGCGCAAACAGCATTTTCCAAAAGACCAAAAAAGTGAAAAAGTATATTTTAACATAACGCATTTGACTAGCAGGTCGAACAACGGATGTTTTTAAACCCTGCTGACTGCCATTGGCGATTGCCAAATAAACAGATCACCAGATGTAACAAAATGGATCTTAACTATTAATTTAATACCAAACAGAAAACAATAAACTTGCAGAAAAGATGGTATACCGCAAACAAAAGGTGCAAAAATTAGGACACCATATCCGGATTTCGACAATTAATGTCTCTTTAGTGATGTTAGGAATCGAAACAGTATTTGGTAGGCAATATAATTTACCTCAATTTAGGATGGACTCCTGGCCTAATGTTACCTTTCCTCGTCAGTAGAATCTAGAGTTGTAACACAGTACATGATGTATTAGACATGGAGATGGAATTGATTGCATATTAGCTAAGTTAACTGTACTAAAGGATCGTATGTACGTCTAAACAACTCTAGGATGGATCCATCCATTGGATCACCAGTGAAGGTGATACACGGCTGAAAACACATATTATATTCATAATTACTCTAAATATCAGCACAACAATGTTAAATCTGAAAATTTGCGGAAGCAAATTTTTGTTCTTCCCTCGCCGTGATTCTAACTCATGCTATTGGGATATCGAGACAATATATATATCTAAGTACGTCTGAACCAGTGACAACTCTACGACAGACTTTATCCATCGGATCACCAGTGATGGGGATTCAAGGCTGAAAATACATTCTGTATACATAATTAGTCTAAATAACAGCCCAACAATGTTAGATCTGTAAATTTGCGGAAGCAAATCTTTTTTTCTTCCCTGGCCGGGAGTCGAACTCATGCTACTGAGATATCGTGGCACTAAATCGCCTTGCACTATTCCCGACACGCTAGACCACTCGACCACCTAGGCTCGACAAAAAATCAAGCTTTCGGTGGCAGGGTGTTACCTTTCCACGTCAGTTTTTATCTAGCGTCGTAACACAGCACATGATATATAAGGCATGAAGAAGGAATATTACAGATCAGATGAATTATCTATCGTAGAGGATCTTACAAATTAATGTAGGATGCAGTCACAGAAATAATTATATTATAATATATATATATATATATATATATATATATATATATATATATATATAACATTTTCCAAAAGACCAAAAAAGTCACAAAGTATATTTTAACAAAACGCATTTGACTAACAGGTCGAACAACTGATGTTCTTAAACCCTGCTGACTGCCTTTGGCGATTGCCAAATAAACGGATCACAAGATGTAACAAAATGGATCTTGTGATCCGTTTATTTGGCAATCGCCAATGGCAGTCAGCAGGGTTTAAGAACATCAGTTGTTCGACCTGTTAGTCAAATGCGTTTTGTTAAAATATACTTTGTCACTTTTTTGGTCTTTTGGAAAATGTTGTTTGTGCTGTATTTAGACCCCTCTACCAAGAAATTTGTTTTGCATGCACACGTATAAAAATTGCGGTTTTTATCCAACGCAATCATAGGTTTGAACGTCGTTTTCAATTTAGGCTTGTTTATATATATATATATATATATACAAAGGGGGAATATATATATATATATATATATATATATATATATATATATATATATATATATACCCTCTACCCTAGGTACTTGCATTAACCCCAAATGTCTCATACTTTGTATATTAAATGTGTTGCTCGTACATCGTGAACGTAATTATCCTTTCAAATCTTTGAAAATATGGATAAAAGGAGTCAGTTTTTGTTATTAAAATTCATTTAGCTCTTCACATGTTTCGATTCTTATACATCCTTGACTTTCAAAAATTTGGTTCTGAGTGTTCCTGATGCAGGTAAATCCAGAAAAGCACTTCGGATACAATATATATCAAGTGATATTTTCATTTTTTTTCTAGTACAAATTAATACTATAGTCAATTCTGATTTTGTTTCTTCGTATTTATTTCCTGGAGGGGTCTTGAATTAGTACAATTCCGTTAAAATTGATAATAGCTGTTATAGAATAGTAGTAATAAAGTAGACAACCAAACAAGGAATCCAAGCCTCTATTATCTTGGTATATTTCGCTGTGCAAGGTGATGGTAAACAAAGTATTGTGCAAGATTGAACCCAAGTCAATAAAATAGTAGTGTTTCTTTAAAAAAACACTTTTATATTGTAAACAATCATAACGTGATATTGAAATACAAATGTGTTGTAAAAAATTCAAGTTATTTAATATATTAATAAAATATGTGTAAAAAAATATTTCCACTGCAATACAATGGAAAGAAGTGAACCATTGGTGAATACATATCTAAATTATACACCAGACTTTAAAATTGAGTAATGCTAGTGGAGTTTGTTTTATTTGGGACAACCGTTTTGCATTAAAGTTCCTCACTAGAACTCAATTATTGATATCAATGATATACGGTGGTCATGTAGAATAAATATATCTGTATAGACGTACTTTACTTTGAAAGGCTAATCAGATATTATTAACTGTTCCCAAACATTTTGGTAGTAAAACTTTTACATATTTTACAGATTGATTTGTTTAATCTTAACATTACTTTGGAGCAAGTATTTTCCAAAATTATTAAGCATGTTTATGTATTAAAAGCTAATTTGTAAGTGTTTATATTGACGTTGATGATTTCGAGGCAAAGGGGGAAGGAATACACTGAAAAGTGGGATGGCAAACTTCTGAAAGTGACAGAAAAAAAAACTTTTCTGTAGTCTAATAGTTTGGAAATTAGACAGTGAACTCTTTCATTTTTAGCTCACCTGGCCCAAAGGGCCAAGTGAGCTTTTCTCATCACTCATCACTTGGCGTCCGTCGTCCGTCGTCGTCCGTCGTCGTTAACTTTTACAAAAATCTTCTTCTCTGAAAGTACTGGGCCAAATTTGACCAAACTTGGCCACAATCATTATTGGGGTATCTAGTTTAAAAAATGTGTCCAACCAAGATGGCCGCCATGGCTAAAAATAGAACATAGGGGTAAAATGTAGATTTAGGCTTATATCTCTGAAACCAAAGCATTTAGAGCAAATCTGACATGGGGTAAAATTGTTTATCAGGTCAAGATCTATCTGCCCTGAAATTTTCAGACCAATCAGGCAACACATTGTTGGGTTGCTGCCCCTGAATTGGTAATTTTAAGGAAATGTTGCCGTTTTTGGTTATTATCTTTAATATTATTATAGATAGAGATAAACTGTAAACAGCAATAATGTTCAGCAAAGTAAGATCTACAAATAAGTCTACTTGACCAAAATGGTCAGTTGACCCCTTAATGAGTTTTTGCCCTTTACAGTCAATTTTTAACAATTTTTCGGAAATTTTTGTAATCTTTTACAAAAATCTTCTCCTCTGAAACTACTAAGACAAATTTAAACAAACTTGTCCACAATCATTATTAGGGTATCTAGTTTTAAAAATGTGTCCGATGACCCCGCCCGTGAACCAAGATGGCCGACATGGCTAAAAAATAGTACATAGGGTAAAATGCCGTTTTTGGCTCATATCTCTGAAACCTAAGCATTTAGAGCAAATCTGACGAGGATAAAAATGTTCATTAGGTCAAGATCTATCTGCCCTGAAATTTTCAGACCAATCAGGCAACACGTTGTTGGGTTGCTGCCCCTGAATTGGTAATTTTAAGAAAATTTTGCAGCTTTTGGTTATTATCTTGAATATTATTATAGATAGAGATAAACTGTAAACAGCAATAATGTACAGCAAAGTAAGATCTACAAATAAGTCAACATGACCAAAATTGTCAATTGACCCCTTAAGGAGTTATTGCCTTTTATAGTCAATTTTTTACAATTTTCATAAATTTTGTAAATTTTTGTAAATTTTTACAAAATATTTTCCACTGTGACTACTGGGCCAAGTTCATTATAGATAGAGATAATTGTAAGCAGCAAGAATGTTCAGTAAAGTAAGATCTACAAACACATCACCATCACCAAAACACAATTTTGTCATGAATCCATCTGTGTCCTTTGTTTAATATGCACATAGACCAAGGTGAGCGACACAGGCTCTTTAGAGCCTCTAGTTATTCTTATTTTCAATATTTTTTTTTTGTCAAAAAGTGTGGTAGGAGGCAACTGTCCCCTCGCATCCCCGACTCCTACTCCCCTGAAATTTTCAGATTTTGTTTGCACCTCCATTATTAGAGCACCTATTTGATAGGAAATTGTTGTTTGCTGATTTACAATTAGAAATACTTCTGACTATTTATACTTGTTTGCCTATCGATATTTATCATGTATTTATCCAATTAATGATTGGTTTATGCCGGTTGTGTTGTGTTGTGGTGTGTTGTGTTGAATTTTATCGCATTGGGACCTCTGATCATGCATAATTCAACTCAATATACATCTTAAATTAAAGTTGTCCATTAAATGATAACTCGACTGATATTTGATTATCGGTTACTATAACGACCAGGTGAGGCTGGTATAAAGGTGAATAATTTAAAGCGGACATCATTAAGAATTCATTCAGCCTTCCTTACACAGCTGACTGACTATTGTCTTCAAAATGGTGAGTACTTTTATGTCTTTCTTATTCATATGTAGCACAGGAACTTGGGGACAGGACAATTATATGGATATAAGTGTCCGCTGTTGGATAGTAAACTAGGATATTGAAAGTGAATAATAAATGCATGTTACCTCTAGTATATTTATGTTAATATATCACAGAAAAACTCGAAAGTAATTGAAATTAATAGAAAACAAAAAAATAACGGATTTTGGAATAAAGGTGGAAGACTATAAAATAGTGTGTATATATATAATAATATCTTGTCCCCAAGTACCTATGATATGAGCAGATTTCTTCGAAGAAGTTTAATTGGTATAGCACATATATTATGATCAATTAAAACTATTTTCAGCAGTAAATATATCTAGTAGTTTAATGTATTGTCATATACATGAAAAGTTTTTTTTTTAGTTCATCTGGTTGCCATATTTCCAAATCATTGTAGCAAGCTCAGTACCCTTATTAAAATTTAAACTATTAATTTATCGGTCTTTTTGGATCTGCTACCTTTAAAATTGCTCAGCAGGTCTCCGATAAATTGTATATAACGGCTTGTGACGTCATATCTGGGACTATTATACTAACGTGAGTTAGTATAATAGTCCCAGGTTAAATGTATTAATTAATTGGCCTAAATATCTTTGAACTTGGACTTATCATCGACTTCATAACGTTTTTTTTACTTCCATAACTTTTACCAAATCAAGTCTTCTTTTGATTAGCTTTTAAATCAAAGAAAACACGTTTGTTTCGATTATAACATTCGAACAGAATAGAATCCTATAAATTGATCATAAAATTCTCCTTATATATATTGCTTAATATCAGCTATTCGACACTATATGAAGCTCACTCACCAAATAAAAAAGCTTCAGATTGTGATTTGCAGGTGAAATTTTAAAATATTAATATTCAGAAAACCTGATAATTTAAAAGGAATTATATATTATAAACCAGCCTAATACCCACGAGCAATGGATGGAAAATTGTTGCCGAACAAAACAGGTTTAAATTTGGAAAAACTAAGACCACGTGAGATAATTTTTAATTTGAAATAAAATGAATACTAGTAAATTATGCTCTTGTAAATTACTGTGAAGTCTTTCCTGTTTCTGAAGAACATACTATACAGCTGGGACTAATACATGTATCTATTAGTCCCAGCATACAGCAATATCTAGAACAAAATATCGATTATACATGTCGGTACTAGCTGAATAGTTGAATCCCGCTGCTTTAAAAAAAATGAATTCTGTCAATTTCTTCATTCTAGTATTTTAAGAATAGTTTTCTCATGCTTTCTTACTTTCACGTACAATTGCTGGTGTATCAATCCTTCTTAGATTGGAAACAGAAGGCTATAATAATTCATTATACAATATTCCCAAATTAAGTTACATGTATGCCTGAAGCAATTACGGGATTTCTCATGATCACCTTATAATTTCTCAGAATTCAATATGATAAGTATATAACTCAAAATGATAAATATGTTCAAAATTAATAACTATCAACATAGCTATTACGAATTATCTTTATTTTCACCTGTATTTCATGTGAAATTAATGTGTGAAAATGTAATAAAATTCTAAGCTTGAACGTAAAAAAAATTAGTCCCCAAATGCGCGTAAATGTAATGCGCCCAGAGATAAATCCAAATTGAGGATACATCCAAATTTTTGAAGTCTTTGATGTATTTACATTAAAACTTTCAAAGTTGTTTTACCACCAGACTGACATTATCCGTATATTGCAATATTCGTGACTAAATTTTACTTTTTCTAGTGGAGTAAAATTTAATGCGACAACACTTTCATATTGAAAAAAAACCGTAACCTGGAAAATGTACAGGTCTTAAATTAATTTGATATTAAAATAATTACACTTTTTGCAAAAGACTTTTTCATACAGCAGCGTTCTTATTTCAAATTTCAAAACGTTTTTTTTCATAATTTATACGTTTATGATTACTTTCCCAAACCAGCTATTATAGATTGTACACTTGAATGCTTCATTTCCTAGACCCGAACCCACTTCAACACAACCCGTGTACACATCATAAATAGGCGTTAATTTAATGTAAATTGGTGTTACATCAAGCATTGCAAAGATTGACTGATATTGATATGTGTTTCTTTGTGACTATGGAGACAGAGTATTATCTCGTGTTATCAACCAAAGTTATTGATATTAATAATGCATAGATATTTAAAGATTTCCCATGTGTAACTATATCTAATATATCTAAATTAGTTCTAAATTAGTATACAGCACGTAAATAGTTGTAAACAAAAATCAATTTGCTTTCTTTTCGTTCAATTAAAATGATGGTGTTTCTTCCCATAATACATTTACGGCAAAATCCCACATAAAAAGACATAACAAAACTTTACAGGCAGACAGTACAAAACATTACAGGTAGCCATAACAACACATTACAGGTACACATAACAATAAATTACAAGTGCACATAACAAAACATTACGGGTACGCATAAAAATAAGTTACAGGTAGACATAAAAAGATATTACAGGTAGACATTATAAATTTACAGGTAGACATAGCAGAACACTACAGGTAGACATTACAAAACATTTCATGTAGACATTACAAATAATTCAGTTAGACAGTACAAAACAATACAGGTAGACATAACAATCATTACAGGTAGACATTACAAAGAATTACAAGTAGAGATTACAAAACACGGTAAACATGATTAGACATAATCGAAGTCATATAGTAATCAGCTTTTAACTTTTAGAGGGAATGTATCTCTATACATATTGGTCAAGCTGGTGTCCAGATGGGCAATGCATGCTGGGAATTGTACTGTCTTGAACATGGTATACAGCCCGATGGTCAGATGCCAAGTGACAAGACCATTGGTGGTGGTGATGACTCCTTCAACACTTTCTTCAGTGAAACAGGAGCAGGCAAACATGTACCTCGAGCTGTATTTGTTGACCTAGAGCCAACTGTTGTCGGTAAGGGGAACATAAGATTATATATAATATTTCTTGAGGAGATAATTGTTTTCAGTTTTTGTCATTGGTGTATATTTCATCATGTAAAATATGAACGCTCAAGATTAAAGTTTAAGCAGTGAAATAATAAGGCCTTTGGAAGCATCAAACGAAAAGGGCAAAATAAATAAAAAAATATTTAAGGAAAACTTTACCCCAAACGTATGTTGCAATCATAAGTGATTGAAAGATTATACGGTATTATTTCAGATGAAGTACGCACAGGTACTTATCGTCAGCTGTTCCACCCGGAGCAGCTAGTGACCGGAAAAGAAGATGCCGCCAATAATTACGCCCGAGGGCATTACACAATTGGGAAAGAAATTGTAGATTTGGTACTTGATAGAATAAGGAAACTGGTATGTATTATATCTGGTGATGTGTTCCCGCAATTTTATTTTTTTTTTAAAACCACATTTCATTTTAAGATTTTAAAATTTTGCCTATCAACCAAAATTGCCGACATGGCTTAAAATAGAAATAGAGGGCTATGTCTTTTATCTTTTAACCGTTATAGACAGAGAAAATCTGAAAAGAACTTGTAATATTGTGTAAATAATCTTAAGAGGCCTCTATAAAATATAAATTTTATGCTGGTCTGAAATCAAAGATAGACACCAAAATGGCCGAAACATTAACATTGGATCAGATTAAAAATTCATGTTGTCAGATTTCTAGTTTAAAATTTGGTAATAAGGATCAATTGATCAAATTATGACCCAACATAAATTAGTTTATGAATGTCATTACATATAGTGATCATTGAACAATATGAAAAATACATTTAAAGAACCATACTTTTTCAGTAACTATCACGATTTATATGCAGGTAAGCTACTCGTGCTCATTGGGCCCTCTAGTTATTTCATATATCTTAAATAGGTTTAAGTAAAAGAGTTCAACGAAGATAGCATATTATGTTTCTGGTGTAATAAAATCTTTAATATATTCTTTCAGGCTGACCAATGTACTGGCCTCCAAGGTTTTTTGATTTTCCATAGTTTTGGTGGCGGAACTGGTTCAGGATTTACATCTCTACTAATGGAAAGGTTGTCGGTAGATTATGGAAAGAAATCTAAGCTGGAATTTGCTATCTACCCAGCACCACAGGTAAATAATATTGTTAAGCAATAAGTAATTATAGTCAATCATCAATAAAAACTTCGAAACAAATGAATCTAATAACAGAGTTATATGTAAACAAAACTCTTTTGTTTGGAGGAGACGTTTCTAAATTGTAAGTGTTGTGTATGATCAATTTGTCATCTTGAACAATAAAATATGTCTATATAGATTTATAGTTTATTTGTTCTTGTCCTGAATATATTGCATGAAATATTTGCCACTGGAGGTAAGACAAACAATTAACTAATGCTGATGTGAAATAGAAATAAAAACAACTAATAAAGAATACATTTAGTATAACTTTTGTTTTGAAATATTTGTAGGTTTCCACTGCAGTTGTTGAACCTTATAACTCAATTTTGACAACTCATACCACACTTGAACACTCAGATTGTGCTTTTATGGTTGACAACGAAGCCATATATGACATCTGTCGTCGTAACCTAGACATTGAGAGACCAACATACACCAACTTGAATCGTCTGATTGGTCAGATTGTCAGCTCCATTACTGCCTCACTCCGTTTTGATGGTGCTTTGAACGTTGATCTTACTGAATTCCAGACCAACTTAGTGCCATATCCACGTATTCATTTCCCTTTGGCTACTTATGCCCCTGTTATTTCTGCTGAGAAGGCATACCATGAACAGCTGACAGTTGCAGAAATAACAAATGCCTGTTTTGAACCTGCCAATCAAATGGTGAAATGTGACCCACGTCATGGAAAGTACATGGCTTGCTGTATGTTATACAGAGGAGATGTTGTACCAAAAGATGTCAATGCTGCAATTGCTACCATTAAAACAAAGAGAACCATTCAGTTTGTTGATTGGTGTCCAACTGGGTTCAAGGTCGGAATCAACTACCAGCCACCCACTGTTGTTCCAGGAGGAGATTTAGCTAAAGTCCAAAGAGCTGTATGCATGTTGAGTAACACTACTGCTGTTGCTGAAGCCTGGGCACGTCTTGATCACAAGTTTGATTTGATGTATGCTAAACGTGCCTTTGTTCACTGGTATGTAGGAGAAGGTATGGAGGAAGGAGAATTTTCTGAAGCTCGTGAAGATTTGGCAGCTTTGGAGAAGGATTATGAAGAAGTTGGCGTAGATTCTGTTGATGGAGAAGAGGAAGAAGGAGAAGAAGAATATTGAAAAAATTCACGTTTCGATTTTTTAAAGTTATTCGAACATATACAAATTATTATAACTTACCATACTTATCATGATTACACAAGTAATAATTTTAATATCTTTTTTGTTATTCATCTTTTAAAGCAATTAACAACACCCTTTATTTTCATACACCATAAAATATGGAATTATGGGAGTCGATACAAAGTAAAAATGAAACTAATAAACTAATAAAAATTGGGTTTCTGATTGAACAACAAAAGCGTTTCTTTATTCGTCCAAAATTATAGGAGCTTTTTTTTCAGAACAGTCGCTTATTTTATCATTTGTGATAATCATTTTCTGTATCAAAGGTAGCATAAACAGCAAAATTGGTGACTGTTATTTCTCGCTGAGAACTTGTAATTTACAGTCCGTATACTTAAAACAGGCGTTAAAATTTGTTGTGTACTTAAAGCTTACCGTAATTGTCTGAAAACTGCATTAACTTTTCTGCACTCAAAGGTACAAAACAGTTGTCTGAGAAAAAATAAACAACTGCGCCATGAGCGCATGATACGCCCGTCGTCTTATGTGTGAATTGTTATGCAATAAGCATAAATAGTTTCTGACATACGGCGTGACATGCGAAAACCCCCTTTTTTTTTACAAAAAACTCAATATCTCAAAAATAAAATTTTGAATCATCACCAAAAAGTATACAGATCTTTAGATTAATATAACTAAGAAGTGTGTAAAGTTTTAAGCAATAATCATAAACTGTTTTTGAGATACGGCGCGACATGTGAAAAACCCCTCCCCCTTTTTTAACAAAATACTCAATATCTCTAAAATAAAATTTTGAATCATCACCAAAAAGCATACAGATCTAAAGATTAATATAACTAAGAAGTGTGTAAAGTTTTAAGCAATAATCATAAATTGTTTTTTGAGATACGGCGCGACATGTGAAAAAAACCACACACCTGTTTTAGTTACTAAGTCCCGTAACTCAAAAAGTTGTAATCTTATTTTCACCAAAAAGTATACAGATCGTTTGACCATCATAAGAAACAACTATGTTAAGTTTCATGAAATTTGGATAAGTCATTCTCAAGTTACGGTGCGACATGTTTACGCCGGACAGACAGACGGACGGACGGACACCGGACATTTGTATACCATAATACGTCCCGTCAAAAATTGACGGGCGTATAAAAATATTACTGCAAAATAGTTTCGAAGATCATAAACAGATATGTGTTTCTGAGTTGCTATTTCAATGACAACTGTTGGTTTAACTCGGTTGTTATTTACTCCCAGGAATAGATGGCATTGGCAGTACTTGGCATAGCTTTTCGGAATTTTCGGTATCCAATGCTCTTCAAATTCGTACATGATTTGGCCGTCCAACTGTTTAGATTCGAGTGCCACTAAGGAGTCTTATGTAGACGAAACGCTCGTGTTGTGTACTCGATTATAAGCCTGGAATCTTTGATGAGTTTTTGCAATTGATTGGTATCTGGATTTCTAATCTTACTAAAACTTTAGCCGTTTCGGTACTTCCTCTGTTTTAATTGCGCTGATTGCTTCTGTGCAAATTTGTAGAATAGCAAGCAAAAATAGTTTTTTTTTTTTGGAAAAATGATATATTGGGTCTCTGGCCAACTTTGCCTCTATGGATACGTGAATTGAAACCTTGGGTCTTACATCGGGTCAATTTTTTTTACAAGAAAATACTATACAAATTACCATTTTCACCTAGCAGCAGTAATATCGGTCCAGTAAAACAAAATAAAACGCACTTGATTTACGGAGTTTGATGCACCTTTCAGTATTCTTCTAATGTCCTTGATTCAACCTCAGTAACCATACAAACAGCCAATGTTTTGAAAACCAAAGATAGATTAAACTATGTATAACTATATAGACCTCTTTTTATGGAAAATATCATATTATAGGGTAGTATCAATGCATGTAGCCATTCTGAGACCAAGAGATCCTCATAAGACAATAGGACTCACGACGAATTTAAGATCTGTTCAAAGACGGAACCAGTCCTAAAAAATAAAAGTGCTTTTGACTTGTCACATCAAGTTGAATTAAATATCGATAAGCAAACACCAATTTTGGAAATAATATGGTAACCGGATACACTTGTAATGATTCATGATTGTGTTCAATTTGTCCATGTAATTGTTTCGTAAGAGAAAGTGTGTGTATTATTTTCCATGGGGTCCTATGTATTAGTAGATGGTGGTAGTCAGCAAGTTAGATGGTTGACTTGTAAATACACCAGAGAAACCTGACAGGGACAAAACTACTCGGTATATCAAGATCCACCTACTTTCTATTCTCATTATAATGATCAGATGACTGTTGAAGGAGTTAGCATTAAATGACGTATTTTGATGAATTTCCGTGTTTTTGCAAAATATCCTGAACATTATTATAGATAGGTAAAAATTGTTAATGGCAAAACGTATCAAAAATATGCTTATACGAGTGAAACCATTGGACGACTCCTTAAGGAGTTATGTTCCTCAAATAACGGTTTTTGACGAATTATCATGTAATCTGTCAATGACATCAAGAACTATAACAGATAAATAAAATCTGTAAACAGCATAATTGATCAGGAATATATGATCTTCAAATGAGCCTAATGACCAAAACCATAGGATGACTCCTTATTGAGTTAAAGTCTTTAAAGGACGACTTTTGGTGAATAACTGCCGTGTTTTGCCAACTATGTCAAGTACTATAAAAAAAATCGTAAGGGGTTCCATGGAACCCTGTGTCTCGCCTGCGATTGTGATTGTCAGTGTAAAAGTGTAATGTTTACTTAAAATGTGAGTCCACTTTTCAGTAAAATACAGAATTTTAAAAAAAAATCAAACTTTTTCTTTAGATGCTATTTTTTGGTCTTGAAGATTAGCTTCTGTCCAAGTTTCATAACAATCTATGAAGGTTTACAAATTTATCATGTCAAAAAAATTGAATCCCAGACTGTCTGTAAATGTTAACTGTACAAAACGAAATCCATCTATCAGAAAAATACTAAAAATGAAAAAAATATATTTTCAAAGGTTTGCTTCAATCATTACCTACTTGTTAACTGTAAAAAAACTAAGTTCATTCATTTATCAGTAAAATACGGAAAAATGAAAATAAATATTTTCAGAATTTTGCTTTGTATACTGTATTTTGGTCATAAACAAGCTTCTGTCCAAATTTCATAATTTCAATGAAGGTTTGACAAAGTTATTGATGACTGAAAAACTTTAACCTCAGACTGATCCTTAGTGTAAACTGTAACAGAACTAATTCCATATATATCGTCTTACGAATGAAATTTTAAATTCTTCTACATTCAAGTCAGTGCGTTCCACAGAGAGGCATATAGTTATCATATACTGAACATTTGAACGTCCCTACTATGTATTGGTTACCTAAACAACACAAAAAATCAGTAAAATATCGTTTCATCTCGGCCTCTAGTAAGTCTTCTACAACTAATCTTTCAGTGCTTTTAACTAGTTCCTTAACTACTATCAAGGAACTTATCATTAACTTTTGTAATAAAATATATGAAAATGGTGGAATTAACTATTTTTGGATTGTAAAAAAATTGTTGGATGTTTTAGATAAATTACGTGCTTTTGGTGGTCCTTTTGATTCTGTTGACAGTTTTGACTGTCCAACTCTTTTCATTACATTTCCACACAATCTTATCAAACAAAAGTTTTCCTATTTAATTAGATGGTCGTTTGGTAAATCTGAATGCAAATATATTTGCTGCAACTCATTTAAAGCCTTCTTCTCTAATAAAAAAGGTAAATATGCTAGATATACTTACTGGTGGTGTGATGAGATTATTGAAGCTGTTAATTTTCTCCTTGATAATATTAATGTACGTTTCGGAAATAAAGTTTATCGACAGGTTGTAGGTATTCCTATGGGCACTAATTGTGCCCCTTTAATAGCAAACTTGTTCTTATACTGTTATGAATCACAGTTTATGACCAAACACAGTAAAGACCCGTCTCAATTGCATTTAATTGATAAACACTTAACGTTATCCTGATGATATTTTTTCGTTAAATAATCAAGAATTTTCTAAATATACTGCCGAAATTTAACCAAAGGAACTTCCCTTAAATAAATCTAATATAAATGGTAATAACTGTCCTTTCCTAGATTTAGATATTTTAGTTTCACACAGGAAACTCTACACTAAAATTTACGACAAAAGGGACAATTTTTCGTTCCCTATTGTTAATTTTCCTTTTTTGGATGGTGATGGTCCTTAGGCACCATCTTACAGTGTTTATATATCACAACTCGTTCGCTATCCCCGTGTCTGTTGTGACATTTTGCATTTCAGTGAACTTAATCTATGTATTACTGGTAAATTATTAAGTCAGGGATTTCGTTTCAATAAATTACTTAAAACCTTTACTAAATAAAGATTGGTTTTGAAGTTTGGTTGTAACTGTAGAAAACTTATTTCAAATGTGATAGTACCTCTTAATTTTTACGGAGATGTTGTTACCGAGCCTGGAAATTTAGAAACAATCCGGGTTAACTTATCGATCCTTTAAATAAACTTATTCTTAAAGGTTACCAATTTAACACTGTAATTAGATCTTTGAATATTGTTTTTATTGGTATTAATATTGATTTTCTTATCTGTAAATTAAAAAATCAAACTAAATATTATTTTTATATTCATATGCATATTCATGGCTCTAAAAGCTGTTGATACCCATATCTTGGCATTGCACAAGGTCATGTTTTTCTCTGACTGTTTATGACGTCTTTCCACTAAATCCATTGGATGTTGAATGTGTACTGATTGATATATTAGTCTTAGATGAATGATTTTTTTCATTAGTTGTTATTGGCTTTGAACTAGCTGTTAACAATTGCTAGTACTCTCAGATATGTACTTAGTCCTTTTTGTTGTGGGGATGTATAAATACCCTGCCACGTCCACTCAGTGTTTTTGTTACTTGTTTTTGTGCTTTGTATCTATCTGACGAGTTAAGCCTTTTCAACTGATTTTTATAGTTTGTTCATATGTTGTACTGTTACACCACTGTCCCAGGTTAGGGGAGGGTTCTTTGTATGTGCC